CAAGATCTTCAATTATCTAGTTTAAACATTTAAATTGATAATCACAAAGATAGCAATATCCAAATCCCTAAAATCTTGGGATCTTATCTTGGGAGTAAGGGATTTTCAAAATACCTAGGGTTTCTTAACCCTAATTTCGAAATTTGGAGGCTAGGCAAAAAGGTTTTAAGAACCCTATCAAAAAATCGCCAACTAGGGTTTTGCAACCCTAATTTGCGAAAATCACCAAGCCTTAGGGTTTACTTGCCATAAACCCTAATTTGTCAAATTCATAATATGTATCAAATCCAATTGAAAACAAAAAACCAATGGCTCTGATACCACTGATAGGTTTTATACAAACAAGCCTATGTGTGCATGCAACCCTAATTGGATCTATGTTTTCACTATAAGACATACAACTATATGAACACAAAATAAACCCTGGCATGCTACTATGATTTTCGAAAATTACATAGAAGTGTAGTAGACATACCTTTGTTGTTATATAGCAATAACAACTAGTTTCCTTGATCTCTTGAACTCTCTTGAACTCTTGAAAGCAAGCACCACAATTGTAGTGCCTCTAATGGCTCACAAACACCTTGAAGCAAGAAGGTAATTAAGAGAGAGAGATGGATGATGCTAATTTCGGCCCTAGGGTTCCCTTGGAATCAAGTGGCCTCAAATTGAAGCATAGGGCATGTATTTATACTATAGGGTGCTAGGGTTTCAGTCAAAACCCTAATGGACAGCTTAGCCACCAAGCAGCCCAAGGAACCTTCTGGAATGAGGCCTTGGATGAAAATATGATGATCCTTCATCATAATTTCGTTCCCCTTTAGTCCATTAGGTTTCCTAGCCCAAAACTCAACTATCACACATTTGACAGTTTATACCCCTTTATTTAATTTGTCTCTTTTAGTCACCAAATTAATTCCTAATTTATTTATGACTAATACTAATTAAATAAATATGATTTCTCCTTTAATATATTATTCCTATAATATATTAATAAATCATAATATCTCCTCTCTCATACTAAATTACCTTGTCAAGTTGCTTTGGTGAAGGCAACCCAAAAGGACCATGCACATTCGGGTCAAGTACATACCAAATATGGTTACGGACTTAGACACTAATCCAACAGGAATGTCTCAACATAAGGAAATTCTGTATATGGGTCCATTATTTGCGTTCTAAAATTCGATTATGATTATGGCATCCCTTTTCATAATCTGAATTATGAGAACTTGGCAAATAGAAATGGAAATGTTATAGCAAAAGACTGGTTTAGTCTTTATGTGAGACATCATGAATCGTGTCCCATATGCTTCAGATATAGGATCGATTACATGTGCTATAGTTATCCTTTCTAATAGTTTCCAAATGCCTGGGGCATTAAGAAGGGAAAAGGTTTAGAACTGGATATGACTAAAAGGATTAAACAATTGTCGAGGACAATCTAAGGTTTACCAAAGATTGGTTTTCTCAAGGACAATTGGAAGTATAGTGATAATTCTGGAAGGACCATATTGACATAATCTGTAAGGAGGCAACTCTTGTTCAGAAGTTATAGTCAAAATGAATCTAGAAATGTTTCAAAGTCAGAAATTTCAATCTGTGTAAGATCAAGGAAACTTAATGCAAGAAGGATGTTTCCAAGGAATTAATCTCCTTTGAAATACCCCTGTAATGATTGTTGCCAAGTCTTTCTGACTTTGTGCATAATCATTACAAGAGGATCAATGCATATAAGTTTAGAGTCTAACAGATTTTAGTAAATGACATGAATTTGGAATTCTTGTATTTACAGTAAGGATTTGGGAGTGTGAAGTTATGTTCAATGGATCTAGTTCACAAAGTAAAGATCATAGACAAACATAGTATGCATACTTGGTGTATGACATGACTAGTTTTTAGAAAACATAGTGTACATGCTTGGAGCATGGGATAACTATTGTTTTAAATTCAAGAATATAGTTGATAGCTGAAACAGTATACAATGAATAATGTGTAATCATATGGTGATAAATAAAAGGTGTTTTATTTATGTTCATAGGTTTTGATACCATATTGGATTCAATTATTATTGTGTTTCACTTTGCATGTTTTGACTTCCCGAATAAACTAGGTTATTCTTCTGGAATGACTATGTTATTCAAACCATCCACAGTCGGTCATATGTTGGAAGTAGATATGAATTAAGACTGTCATGGGTTGGCTTGTAGAGGTCTAAGGTGTTGGACAAAGGGCTACAACACTCATGAGTGCTCATAAGTTCTGAGTATTGGATTCAACCCACGCTCATTGGAATCACTTCATGGATTTTATCACGAGTGATCATGAGATGATAATATCTTATATTCTTCAAACCTAGAGATATGAGTTGTTACTATGAGTTGGTTGTACATTGATTGCACGAAACCGCATTTGGTAACTCGGTGCTATAAAACGTGTCTTTGTGTATGATTCAACAAGTAGTAGAACAAGCCATATGAGTCGAAGTTTATCCATTCCTTTTACCTTCGGGATAAAAGCGATATCTGTGGGCCCCTCGATGATTTGATGATGACAATTGGAAGTGCTCGGCCGGGCCAGGACTGATTTGATTTGTTCAATTAGTCAGTCGTCATAAATCGGAAATCGGGAAACAACAAATGGACAAAGAGAATGATTATAATCCATGTTTTAGTCCATATGATATCTAGAATGGAGGAATATATGATCCCTTATCTAATGGACAAGTCATTGACAAAGATCAGCGTTTATCGGCAAGGTCAAAGTTCGACAGAAGCTTTTGAGAGCTACGATTGCCAGTTGGTTCCTGAAGTCATACGCAATAATAGTTTTAGACTTATCCAAGTGGGAGACTGTTGGATTAATGTCTAAGTCCATAACTATAATTGGTAAGACTTGACCCGACCCAGCATGGTCCATTTGGGTTGCATGGCATCATGCACTTGGATAGACTATAATAAGAGAAATAAGACACTTACGGTTATTAATGTATTATAAGTTCTAGTATATTAATAATAAGAATAATAAGATTATTTAATTAGTATTGATCAAGAATTAATCTAGGATTAATCAAGTGATCAAAAGAAGACTAATTAAATATATGGGTTAATTGTGTAAATCATCCATACTTGTATAGTGGGCTAATGCTCCATGGATAATCAAGTTGGGTTAAAACCCATAGGATGGTCCATGGATGCTCCATGGTGTATTTGAACCCATGGATCCAAGGAAGTGGAAAGTCATGACAATTAGGGTTTACCCTAATTGTAACACTATATAAAGATATTATTCTTCCCAAAATCGACTACGAGTATTATTCTAGAGAGGGCTAGCCGATTTTATGAAGTGTAGAATTCTCTCAAGTTATTCCAAGTGTATTTGGTGTTGTGTGAACCATTTGAGGTGTCACACTTGGGGCACTAGGCACTCAAGCTTCATGAAGACTTTCTACATGAAAAAGGTATGTATTCTATCTTGTTATATCCATTATTTTGTATGCTAGATTAGGATAATACCTTGGATGTTCATATTTGCATGTATAATAGAGAAAACATAGATCCAAGGTATTTAGGGTTGCATGTACACTTAGGAGTGTTAGAATGCTCATAACCCAACATTTTCGTGTTGCGTTAGCCCAAGATCATAACCACCACCACCATGTGCCGCCACGTGTGTGTTTTTATGTTAGTTAGTGTGTGTGTTATTTTTGGAGTTTTTTTTGATATAAAGTTTAATCATGTCGGAATAATGAAAAGAAAACTCAAACCACCGACGTAGGGAGGTAGGTGCCGCCGCCTGATTCCATCGGCCGCCGTGTCGGGTGGTGGTGTGCTTTTCCTCATTGTGTTGACTCGTTCGGGGTGCGTGAAACCCTAATCGGCCCAAAGAAGCCCTAATGGGCCCAATGAAGCCTAATGGGCTTAGTGAAAACCCTAATGAGCTTAATGATATTCTAGTGGGCCTATTAGGCCCAAAAAAGCAAATAATTGACCTAAAAGCCCAACAAATTGATATATGGGCTAGTATTTGGGTTGGAAACCCTAATTAGTGTTCGGAAAACCCTAATGCCAATAAAACCCAAATTTTGAGAATTAATCGGGGTAACACACACGGGAATTATTTAATAGCTTGAAATATTAAATAATAATCATTGTCAAAGATTAATCTAAGCAATATTGGACTTAATGAATTAGGTCGTTAGTGGATTAAGTGCTTAATGGGTTAAGTAGGAAGCTTAACCCGAATCGATATTTTATGTGAAACCCTAATTTCACTTGGGTTTATTAGTGGTCATTGATGATTGGGTTCTTAATGGGCCATCCAAGATCAAGCAAATGGACTTAGAATAATGAATGGGCTTTGAGGTAAGGCCCATATGAGGAGTTGGGTCCAATTTGTAAAACTGGGACATAGATGGGCCATAGTTTGGGCCTTTATGATTATGTGATATTGGGCCATTAGAATGTTAAATGTTGGACTGGACTAAATGGTTGGGCCTTATGGTGAGACGTTATAAAGGTTTGGGCTCAATTTGGAAAATTGGGTCATAAGTTGGGCTTTGAGCCATGGTTGGAGTTTTGGACCCTTGGATTGGGCCTTGGGCTTGAATCAACCCAAGTTAGGGGTAGATTAGTCTCTTACCCTAAGCATGGACGTATGATTATGAGTTGGAACCCAAATATTAATTGGGTGATGTTGTGTTATTGGCAGTTCGGGAATCTGTCGTCCAGTAGATGGGATTGTGTCTACGGGACTTCGGTAGTGCGAGGTGAGTCTCCTCACTGTATGCATGGGTCTACGGCCATAATGTCGTCCCATTTAGTTTATGTATGGTAGGAAGACCTGGGGGTTTGCCTTAGGCATTATGCTTGGAAGACCAGGAGGAGGCTCCTGGCACTTAGTATGTTATTATGTATTGTAGGAAGACCCAGGGGGTTAGCCCTAGGCAATATGTATGAAAGACTAGGAGGTGGATCCTAGCGCACTTTATGCTATTATGTATGAAAGACCAGGAGGTGGCTCCTGGCACACTATATGCTGATTTGCTAAGCAAAGTAGTACGGATGCTAGTTGTCTTTGTGATGCTTGCTTGGAAGACCAGGAGGTGGCTCTTGGCACTTGTCTGTAGGACCGAAGGGGTGGCCCCCGGCTTGGCAAGAAAGACCATGTGGTGGCCCGTGGCATATAATGGCAAGACTATGGTTGGCAAATAGTATATTTATTGATTATGATATATGTATGGCTCATGTTTATGTATGACAGTATGCGACTATGTGTTTATATGCTAGACAATATCCGGTTGAAAGAGATCGAAGGGGTAGGCCAGCACCCATATATGTTAGGCAGTATGTTGATATGTATGGTATGTGGTATTTGGGGAACTCACTAAGATTCGTGCCTACGGTTTTTAGTTTTGGTTTCAGGTATTTGGTTTTCAAAACAAAGGAGCCGACTCGATCACAACACATCACACTATGTTTTCCACACAGGAGATCTTTAGGATTATACTCGGATATGATTTTATGATGACATGTTTTGATTATTGACATACTGGTTATGACATGATATGTTATTATGGATGTCTTCTTATACTGTTAGTTTTATAATAACTTAATTAAAACAAAATTTTTGGCATGTATTTTTGGGATGTTACAAAAATATATGAAATCATGGACATAGATCAATCATGGTTTCTTCCATGTAGTTTTGAGAAAGAGGACATCCTCCTCAAATGTAAAAGTTTGAAAACCCCAAACATATTGTTTATGGATGGAATTGTAATCTTTTTTTATGTGTTCTATTAAACAATTTTTTTTTGTTTTGCATTGGTTTAAATTAAAATTGTTTGATTGCTTAATGTATTTCAGGTGATGTATTTTTCGTTTGCAGAAGATGAAGCTAGGAAACAGTTGATTCAAGATGATGTTGATAATGGACAATTGGATATAATATTTGTCTTTGGAATACGGTTAATGCCAGAAAGGAGAGAAAAGATGGAATAAGAATGGATCATGTTGCAGAAGGCTTACCTTAGTACAAGAAAAAGATGGAATCTTAGCGAAGGGAGATCAAAACAGATACAATTCCATGGCTTGCATAAAATTTGTGTAAGCCATCCTTATGTGCTTAGTTATGGAGTTTCTTCCATGAATAAATGCAATTGGTTGTTCAACTATGATATTTGTTTGTAATATGCTTGTTTAGTTAAGTTTTCTGAGATGTTTGACTTCCACTTAGAGTAGTTGCTTGATGGGTATTTTGATTCTAACAACTAATGGTGTGTACTATATATATATATATATATATATATATATATATATATATATATATATATATATATATATATATATATAGAATCCATTTTGGGATATGGTAATTTTCCTGTGAACTTTCTATGGTATACTTAAGTAGTTAGTTGATGTTGTTGATTTGTTTAAGTTTATTAATTAGATTTGATAATTTTTAATATGCCAAATATATATGTATGTGCAATATACTTAAATACCAATGAAGTATTTGCAATATAGCTACATTCTATTGTATTTTGGGATTTGATCATTAGATTTCATTATAACATTATGAATGTAAGTGTCTGCAATGTGATATTATGTATTAGTGCCATTAGGGAGAATTAAATGTAGTTTTCTCATTGTTTGGTACATATTAAGCATTTACTACAAGGATATGTGTGTTTTAAGATATATTTATATGTACAATATTTTGAATAAATATCCACTAAAACCCACTTTTAAGTTATAACTAGTAGGTGATATCGGGCCACGCCCAAGAAGTCTTTTAAAAAAAAAAAACCAAAACCCAAAAATTGGTGCATTTAAAACAACAAAAAATTAACCAAAAAATAGATGATATCTTAATAAGTCAGCAAAATGCAGGGATCATTTATCTAACTTATGGAAACGTTTCATGATACCCAAATAAATATATAGGGGTCCATAATAGTGAAACCCACATAACGACTAAAAGTGTCAAACTCCACAAAATCAAGGGACCATTTATGTAAGGGAACCCCAAATTGTATAACATTTAGGGACCATTTATGAAGGCATTGTGGAAGTCCATGCTATGACCATCAATAATCTTTATCGGACATACGAGCATTTATTTTCTCGACAAGTTAAATTTCTTACCCATTGACTATTATCTAATGTCATACATAATGTAAATGTGTTTTCAATTCATAAATCAATGAAAGAATAAAAAAATGTAGTGTGAAAATGACAGAAAGATCAGAGGAGATGAAAAAGATATTGGAAAAGTTTAATTAACAATTTACATTCACCAATAAGCCTCCTCCTAAGTCAATTGTTCAGAACGCTTCAACCAATCTCCCTCCCAATGGGGAGAAGATGGATGAGGAAATGAAAAATGTGTTTTTACAAAGAGAAACTGATGTGGATAAGGTTTATAAGGAATTGTTCAAAAGCTAAAGAATGTATTAGCACTTCGTGAGTAAAATTTGGAGAAAACAAAATTAGGAAGTCAATGCTATGAAAAAGAGTATTCGTATGAGTTTCTGATATTGGAAGAAGATGAGTAATATTTTTATAATGTGCTTGTTTGTTGAATTAATTTAAGGTAATGTATCTCTATGTATGTCTTTTATCAGTAATTTTAAGGTAATATATCTCTGGTCTCTATGTATGTTTTTCATTACTGGTTAGATTGTTGAATTAATTTATATAAGTAACAATGTCTTATAGTATTGTGACCTTTTATCCATAGGATGCAATATTTTTATTTATTTTAAACGGTAATTTATTTATTTCAAACAGTAAAGTAGATAGCTCTCATGTGTTTTTGTGTAAGATTTCACGGAATAGCATGTACTATATGCGACCTAATAAATTCTATACTTTTCTATATAACAATTCAGTAATATGACATTAGTTTGTATCATAAAAGATGGATCCTAATGTACCACTAACATGGAACACCCAAGAAGAAGGCATATTGATACATGCTTGGATTGTCGTCATAGAAGAAGCTTATCCACATGGTTCCCCAAAATGTCGTATTGGTTCTTTTTGGAGACGCTTGTTTCATTATGAAATGGGTCGAGGTTATTACCGCACAAAAAAAGATGTAAACTTAAAAATGTTACAAGTGAAACGACATGTGAAGAACTTTCATAGAATTCATAGAGAGACCAAAAATGAACACCCAGATGAGTATGCACAAGGAATTTTACTAGCGGCTATCGTGTTATTTCGTTTGAAATATAATGGTAGAGAGTTTGTCCATGTTGATTCTTAGAATGTTATGAAGAATCTACCTAGTTTTTAATTATTTTATAATATTGGATGAAGTTTGTTTTGTAGCTTAAAATGTATGGTAGGGAGCTTATCTATGTTGATATTCCAGAATTCATGTTTGTTGTATTGGTTACTCAATGCAATGTTCATGTCTGCCATTTTTGACTTTTTTATTTGTAAACAACATGTGTTCTACAGTCAAACGAAATAAAAAAAAATAGATTACAACTTGTACAAAATAATATGAAAATGATAGCACAACCAATTACCATAGATGGAAACGTAAATCATTACAAAAAATCACATACATTACATTTTACATAGACTAACCGATAAGTGTTACATAAAGTTACTGGATGGACATTTAGCTTACAAATTGTAGACAACAGCACCAAAAAATAAAATCTAATTACAAAGTAATGCAATCTTCAAGTGTAGTATTTTCCTTTGTAGCTTCTTCTTCGATCGAGTTAAGTTAGAAATTATCAACGAATTATTGTCTTTTGCTTCATCCACCCAACAAATAAACCCAAACTGTGGTGGCTGGTAAATAAATATCAAAAACATTATGTATATTGTGTAAATATTCAATAATAAACTATAATATAAATAATTAGAGGATAACCCAAATACCTCTTTAGGACAAGCGTAAAATAACCGTCCAAGGTTGTTGGTAGTTCTTGAGATCCTTATAATACCATGAGCCTTACAACTGCAAATTGTCATTTCTTTGGTTTATGAGAAGTAAATTTTTATTAGTACAGACAGGTAAATATCTTCAATCATTTACTGCCATTAGACTACTATTTTATAGGTATTTACAACTGTCTACTAGGCATTGCCTACTACTTCATGTGTTGTCTTATCGTATAGCGAACTCAAATCGTTCATCATCATCTGTTCTTATCTGAGTAACAGTTCTTGGATTATGCTGACCAAGTTGCGCACATACGCTGGTAGTTTGTTCAATGAATTCTCTTTGGTACCTCTTAACATCAACAACGCATATTGTTTTGCCCGCCATGCTTGTTGGTATGTGACATTGATTGGAAATTTCAAATTGATGTCCCTCACAATTTCATTACCCCGATAAACTTTATTATAATATTCGGTCAATACTTCAGTGATAAAGTGGTCGAGTACCTTTTTCCTTAATTGTCGATGATTAGACTCCAAGTTCGTTGCACAATATGTGTGTTGGTCAAAAACTTTTGTGAATTGGAAAGCAGTAGCCGATTTGATTCCCCTTTCCCTAACCATCCAACAACAATTATCTACCGAACAAACCACCTCGAATCTTTCTTTGCTTAATCTAGCAGTCTTATACTGCTTACCTTGTTCTATTCATTGTTTTCCAATTACAAGCTTGAGCAACTCTTTGTTATCAAAAATGTCTAGAACCTTAATCTATTCATTTATATCCACCCCCTGGCATGGAATGTTCACATCATGTTTGAGAAACTCTTTGTTATAAAAAATGTCTAGAACACGAAGGCAATGGAAGCATACCATGAAACATGGTATTTGAATAAATAAGTTTAGGTTCATCATCAAATTCTTCTCCGTTAGAATCACTCTCTGGGTCGGATATATCCAACTTGTCACAGTCCTCAAACTCGCCATATCCTTTGAGTTCACAAACATGTAAAAATAGGACTTCTTGTTTTCCAGATTCATTACCAACCTTATTCACCACATCTAGTGCTTTTTTTTGTCAAAGTAATGATTTACACCCACATCTTTAACATATGTACCAACATCATTTTCACCGTTATACTTATAATTCTGTGGTGTAACATACATAATCGGTTCTGACACTACATTTACATTTTTAGCGAAACTATGATATTGACTTTTACTTGGACTTTTAAAATTACCTATTGGGGTGTTGCTCTCTTTTCCACTTGATAAATTAGATGCATATGCATTTCCTCTATCATCCACTTCGTTACACCAAAATCCTTCTTCAACCACCACATACACAGACACAAATTTATCTCCAACAATATTTATTATCTTGATCAACTTTCTAATATCACGATAATCAACAATATCATAATAATAGAGTTATTCGGGATGTTGATAATACAAACTAACTTTTGATTCTTTGGGAAGACTCATATTTCACTTCACCAAATAAACAAATTCAGTGAATGCGGTGGTTTGGGAAACCTTAGGTTATACAGAGAAAACTGTAGGTTTTAAAAGAATCTACAATTTTATATCTTCAAAATGAATATATATATATATATATATATATATATATATATATATATATATATATATATATATATATATATATATAAAACATGAAACAGTAGACGAATCTAAATATCTACAGTTTTGTGGGCTATTTTGGAACATTTTCTAATTTTTGGCTAAAAATTGTTAATCACTTCCTTAATTTAGCTAGATTAGTTATTAGCTAAATAAATAGATAAAAAAATTGAGTAACTAACAAATATTTTTGGTAACGAATTACCAACCATACTAAATGCAATAAACATTTTTTTATTGATTCATCAGAGAAATTTGTACAGTTTTTAACAAAATCAGCATCATCATATCAATCATGATATCATCAAAAGATTTGTTTTATAAAATGTATAGAATTTCTCTGATGATAAAAAAATGTTTACTGCATTTAGTATGGTTGATAAATCATAAATATGCTAACTATGATCAATGCATGTGACAATGATATCTCTACTAATTGAAATCCTACTACC